CGCTTAACCGACTGCGCCACCCAGGCGCCCCTCAAAGCTTTTTTTTAAATGTTCATCCATTTATTTTGAGAAAGAGTGCAAGCAAGGGGAGGAGCAGAGAGAGAGGAAGAGGGAGAATCCCAAGCAGGCTCTGTGCTGTCTCTGTGCTGACAGCCAGAGCCCAGTGTGGGGTTCACTGTGAGATCATGACCTGAGCCAAAATCAAGAGCTGGACGCTTAACTGGCTGAGCACACCCACCCCCCAAAATCAAAGTGTTTTTTTAACAGTTTTATAAACCTAAAGCAGAAATTGCTTTTGCCTCAACTAAGATTAATAGAAGACTAAAGCCAAGAAATTAGAAATAAGGTATAAAAAAAAAGGGAATAAATAGAAGTTAAAAGTGATAAATCAAAACAAAAGATATTTGGAGCCCAAAAACAGTGAAACAAATGGATGAGATATAAAGAGCCAGAAGCCAATAAACTTTTGCAAATAAAAAATTAGTATTTTAATATCAGAGTTTAATCTACATATTTATGTATAAATATGACCACCGATGCTATTTATAAAGGCAGTAAGATGTCCAGTAATAAGAAAATAATTGTAACGCTTTTATAAATTGGGGAAATGTGTATGTATTTAAAAAAATCATCTTTTAAAAAAATTTTGTTAGTTTATTTATTTATTTTGAGAGAGAGGGAGCGAGTGCAAGTGGGGGAGGAGCAGAGAGAGAAGGAGAGAGAGAGAATCTCAAGCAGGCTCTGCACTGTTAGCGCAGAGCCCTTTGCAGGGCTGGAACTCATGAACCTGTGAGATTCTGACCTGAGCAGAAATCAAAAGTCAGACACTAACCGACTGAGCCACCCGGGTGCCCCTAAAAAAAAAATCATCTTTTTGAAGATTATCAGAAGACATTGGGGAAATGTTTATAATAAAAATGGTAAGTTTAACAAAGTACATATATAGTGATTCTAATTTTTTTAAGTTATAAAAATACATATGTGTTTCCTCAAAATGTTAAACATAGACTTAACCATATGACTCAGTAATCCTGAGTCATATATATATATACTTTCATATATATCCAAAAGAAATGGAAACTTATGTCTCTGTAAAAACATACACATGAATGTTCAGAGCAGCATTATTCACAATAGCTACAGTAGAAACAATCCAAATGTTTATCAACTGATAATGGATAAAACAAAATTTGATATTTTTGTTATTTGCCAAACATTATTTGGCAATGAAAAGGAATGGTGTACTGTTAATGCTACAACATGGATGAATCTTGAAAACATTATGCTAAACTGAAAGAGGCCAGACATAAAAGGCCACATATTGTATAATTCCATTTATTTTGAATATTGAGAATAGGCAAATCAATAGAAACAAAATAGATCAGGGGGCCATGTGCTGGCTCAGTCGGTGGAGCATGAGAGTCTTGATCTCGGGGTTGTGAATTTGAGCCCCATGTTGGGTGTAGAGATTACTTAAAAATAAAATCTTAGGGGCGCCTGGGTGGCTCAGTCGGTTAAGCGTCCGACTTCAGCTCAGGTCACGATCTCGCGGTCCGCGAGTTCGAGCCCTGCGTCAGGCTCTGGGCTGATGGGTCAGAGCCTGGAGCTTGCTTCCAATTCTGTGTCTCCCTCTCTCTCTGCCCCTCCCCCGTTCATGCTGTGTCTCTCTCTGTCTCAAAAAAAATGTTAAAAAAAATTTTTTTTAAATAAAATCTTAAAAAGAAAAAAATGGCAATAGTTAGTGGTTACCAGAGACTGGGGTCTGACTGCTAATGGGTAAGGGGCTTCGTTTGGGGATGATAAAAATATTCTAAAATTACACTGAAGGGGGCTGTACAACCGTCAGTATATGTAATACAAAATGTCAGTATATTTCAATAGTTTTTACTTCTAGATGTTGGAATTACATCAGATTTTATTTTCCTTTTTTTTTGGCATTTTCCAAATTTTCTGCAAAAAAACACAAATTTATTTATTTATGTATTTATTTATTAATGTTTATTTATTTTTGAGAGACAGAGACAGCGTGAGCAGGCAAGAAGCAGAGGGAGAGGGAGACACAGAATCTGAAGCAGGCTCCAGGCTCTGAGCTGTCAGCACAGAGCCTGACGTAGGGCTCAAACTCATGAACTACAAGATCATGACCTGAGCTGAAGTTGGCCTCTTCACCGACTGAACCACCCAGGTGCTCCAACACAAATGTTATTTAAAACAGTTACTGGGATGCCTGGGTCGCTCAGTCAGTTAAGTGTCTGATTTTGGCTCAGGTCATGAGCTTGCTGTCCGTGAGTTCGAGCCCCGTGTTGGGCTCTGTGCTGACAGCTCAGAGCCTGGAGCCTGCCTCGGACTCTGTGTCTCCGTCTCTCTCTACACCTCCCCTACCGCACTCTGTCTTTGTCTGTCAAAAATAAATAAACATTGAAAAAAAAATTTTAAACAAATCGTTGTTCAATCAGTGTTAATCCAGGTGTAATCTCTGGGTAGGTATTTGTCCTTAAATTGCCACTGGTCTGCAACACAATACAGAAATTGAAAGTAAATACCTAGAAACTTTTAATAACTATTTTACATTGCTGTAACATCCAAACATATGATCACTCTAATAATTCTGTTTTGCACAAGTATTGCTCCTCAGTGGATTGGGAGAAAAAAAATTGAAACCTGCTTCTTTGCTACAGATAAAGAAGCTCTGCCCTAGGAAATTCCTAATGTTTTATCAGAAAATGTTTAGATCAAAGGCTATGAGTACAGAGGTTGAGGAAAGCAAGTAAAAACTAAAACAGATTAAAATAAAATATGTAAATAACAATAACAGTACAAATGATTAGAGCAAATTGTGTCTTTTAAAAGAGATATGGGGCGCCTGGGTGGCGCAGTCAGTTAAGCGTCCGACTTCAGCCAGGTCAAGATCTCGTGGTCCGTGAGTTTGAGCCCTGCATCAGGCTCTGGGCTGATGGCTCAGAACCTGGAGCCTGTTTCCGATTCTGTGTCTCCCTCTCTCTCTGCCCCTCCCCCGTTCATGCTCTGTCTCTCTCTGTCCCAAAAATAAATAAACGTTGAAAAAAAAATTAAAAAAAAATAAAAATAAAAAAAATAAAAGAGATAAAAGCAAAAAGCTTACTGGCTGAACAAAATCAATTGAAAAACCACTCGTGTTCCAGTTAGACAGCAGAGGTGGGCTTGGCTTCACCTCCCACAGCAGCATCCCCAGAAGGAGATAGTGCTCTCATCCTTTCAAGCTCAACCTTCCAAAATAAAACACCAAATGAAGTCCCCTATTTGCCTCTTGATAATGGTTCCTACTTCTTGTTAAGGGTGCTGGGTTGTCACAGGGGTGGGACCAACGTAATGTGCAAAAGGCTTGGTCTGTACACACCCTGGGGGAAACTTGCTCTTCTGAGGTGAGATGGAATGTCCTCTTACTTCTTCCCTGGGTTGGAATCACAAGGTCAAAAAGTCTCCTGGGGTGGGGGGCACCTGGGCGGCTCAGTGGGTTTTGGCTCAGGTCATGATTTCATGGTTTGTGAGTTCAAGCCCCAGGTTGGGCTCTGTACCGATGATGTGGAGCCTGCTTGGGATTCTTTCTCTCTCTCGCTCGCTCTCTCTCTCTCTCTCTCTCTCTCTCGCCCCCCCCCTCCACCCTTGCTTGGCTATTATGAATAATGCTGCTGTGAACATGGGTGTACAAATATATCTGTTCCAGTCCCTGCTTTCCTTCTCTCGTGAATATACCCAGAAGTGAAGTTGCTGGATCATATGGAACTCTATATTTAATTTTCTGAGGAAGTGCCATATTTTTTCCCATGGTGACTGTACCTTTCACATTCCCACCAACAATTCACAAGGGTTCCAACTTCTCCACATTCTTACTAACACTTGTTTTTTTTTTTTCTTTTTTTTTTTTAAGTAATAGCTTTACTAATGGGTGTAGTGGTTATTTCATTGCAATTTTGATTTGTTCCTTAATGATTAGTGATGTTGAGCATCTTTTCATGTGCTTATTGTCCATTTGCATATCTTCTTTGGAGAAATGTCTATTCAAGTCCTTTGCCCATTTTTGAATTGGTTTTTTTGTTGTTGTTGTTACTGTTGAGTTGTAGGAGTTCTTTATTTATTGTGGATATTAATCCATTATCAGATATGTGATTTGCAAATACTTTCTCACCACTGAGTATGATGTTAGCTGTTCCTATATATGGGTTCCTATATATAGGGGTTCCTATATATGGGCTCTATTATGTTGGAGTAGGCTCTATTCCTAATTTGTTTAGTGTTTTTCATCATGAAAAGGATGTTAAATTATGTCAGATGCCTTTCCTGAATCAATTGAGATGATCATGTATTTTCCTCCCCTTCATTCTGTTAATGTGGTATATTACATTGATTTTTCTGTTAAGCCATCCTTGCATTCCAGGAATAAATTCCACTATGTTGTGGCATAATCCTTTCAATATGCTGCTAAATTCAGTTTGCTAGTACTTTATTGAGGATTTCTGCTTCAGTGTTCATAAGGGAGATCAGTCTTTAGGTTTCTTTTTTTGTATTGTCTTTGGCTTTGGTATCAGGATAATGCTGGCCTCATGCAATGAGTTAGGAAGTATTCCCTTTTCTTCAATTGTTTGGAAGAGTTTGAAAGAGATTGGTTAGTTCTTCTTTAAATGTTTAATAGAATTCTCCAGTGAAGCCATCTGGTTCAGGGCTTTTCTTTGTTCAAAGGTTTTGATTATTGATTCAGTCTCATTATTATATTTCTATTCAGATTTTCTATATCTTCACAATTCTGTCTGATTGTTTTTCTAGGAACTTTTCCATTTCATCTGGATTATTCAATTTGTCAGCATACAATTTTCATAATACTCTCTTAGAATATTTTTAAATTTCTGTAGAATTGGTAGTAATTTCCCACCATGTGTAATTTTTGAGCACACACCCATGTGCAAGGTGCCCTGGGTTAGGTTCTGGAATCCATCTTCGAGTATCATGACATCAGAAACTTCTAGTCCAGTGTACTTAAAAATGTGATTTATGGACAAAGTTGGATAACCTTACACTTTTCAGAATTATGTTAACTATATATATAAATTTAACATCGATTTCCAAGTTACATTCAATGAAGGAAAATGCTTATGATAGTCTTACTAGCCCTTACTTGTTGCTAAAGGTCTCTGGTCTCAGACTATATCTGGTACAAAGTCTTGGAGGCAGGACCAACTAGCATCAGTGCCCTCTGGTCCAGCACTGCTCATGGCACCACACACATTCAAGCCCAGTGTAGGAATGGGACCCCTTTTTACTTTCTATTCCGTGTGGTATCCACACAGTAGATGACACAAGGCACACTAGTCTTAAGGATACAGTTTGATGGGTTTTTACATAAGTCTAAATGTGTGTAACTAACAGTAGATCAAAAATAGTCCCATCTCCCAGGAAAATCCTTTATGTGTACATGAGACATGGGAAGATTTGGGCTCTTAAAGTTTCAGTCTGGCAGCAGTGTAGAGGAAGGAGAGTGATATGGGCTCTGAGTCTTTATCTGGGAGCCTTGCTGCAGGAAGCATCTGTGAATTCTGACTCTGGCAGGAGTGGCCTAGATGTCCCCATGTTCTAGAAATCAGGGTTGGCCTGAACCCTCCAACAAGCTCTACTTGTACTTACACACACACCACATACATACATACCACACCTGCCGCACAGACCCATCCATTCAACATTTGTAGGCTTTGCAGATTCTGATTTGGTGGAGTATCCAGTGATAAAAAAACCATAGTCCTCGCCCTTCTGAAGGAGAGCCAGTGTTACTACAGCCCAGAGAACCCCAAGGGCTCATTTTCTGACTCTTTTAGATGTGGTTGGCAGTACCTGCCATATTCCTTTGTACCTTCCTTTGCTTCTCAGAAAACCCTAGCTCTGCTCTGTTGTGGGCATCACTCACTCACCTGAAGTGAGGTTGGGGGCAGGATCATCATGACTCTGATCATCTTGCTCTGCTCCTGCTTCCTCAGCCATAGCTACTAGAGGTGCCAGTTTGCTTATTTGTCCAGAAAGTAGGTCCAGGGATGTGAGATTAGAAAGATACAGGCTATTTAGCCTGGAAAGCACCCATTAGGAGGTAAGTAGATTACTCTAGAGAGGGATTTTATAAGAAGGAAGTGGACTGATTATTCATTGTCTGTGAAAGAAGCATAAGAGAAACAGGCTCAGGTTAAGAAAGGAAAGCTGGTGTTCAGAGAGCAGAAAGAAAATCCTTGTGCAAAGAGTAGTCATGGTGGTGCCACATGGCCTCCACCCCAGCCCTCTGAGAGGACAGATAGCAGCCCAGAGGAGAGTTTCGTAGTTCTCCTGACTCCGGTGATGGGCAGGGTTGGGCTGGCACTCTGGTCCTGCTAACTGAACGGTTCCATGATTCTATGATGTCACTGAAGAGAAAAGAATGGGGAGCTGGGCTTGGCTCCAGCTGCTCCAATTCCTCTCCTCTGGATTCTTGATAGTTTTCGGGGTGAGGGGAGGTGAGCTGAGCCGATCCCACGTGTCCCAGCTCAGTCTCCCCTCCAACCACCTGAGCCCCCACCATATTTATGGAGAGAAATTAGCCAGTGTGAGTCAACTTCATTGAAACAAGCAGAGCATCTTTTATGAAGTGGATCAAAAGGACAACAATGAAAATAGCCTTGTGTTCTTCTGTTTCTAGAAAACGTAAAGAACAAGAGAACTACATTCAAACTAAGCTGGAAAAGAATATTGCATGATCTGTGACTGTGAGAGTAGATGAGTCTTCTGGCTAATCCTCTGGCCTTTGAAATCACCGCAATCACTTTCTTCATCCTCCTTCTAATTTGCTTCATTTGCATCCTCCTTTTATTGGTGGTTTTTTTATATAAATGGTATAAATCCATGCTGATAAATTGGGATCAGATTTCAAGTCATGCTAGCAAATGTATCTAGAAATAATCTAAGTCAATTTATGATAGAGCCAGTAACGCCATAGCTACCTACTTTGTCCATTTAGGAATTTTAGGAAATCTAATTTCCTGTTTAAAAGTGATGTTCTATGCCAAGCATTCAATTCGAGGCCATTCTCCTTTTTCTGAATTTTTTTGCTTATTCATTTTCAGTTTCCAAAGCAAGAAAGATGTACAGACAGAAAAACGCCCTTGTGCAGATGGTAATGGAGGTGAAGGTTGTTTAACTGCTAATGTGGAGGCGAACATTTCAAGAGACCAGGAAAAGTAAGTCTGTATCGTAGAATGTTGTAGAAAGTCATTTTGGGGTATAGCAATGGTGGCTAACATGCCTGAATTTCTAAAAATCCTGCTGATCGATTATCTAGGACTCTCCTGACACAAATCATAGACTTGAACGCACCCATGAGGCCTGGCATTCTTGTCCAGAGACGGAGTAAAGAAGCGTTGATCACACCCTTAGAAGAGAAAGAAAACATGGAAGAAGAGGGGGAGGACATAGTAAGAGAGAAGCAAGAACCTAAGAATGCTGAAGGAAATGGTCAAGAGGTGACGGACTTTTCTACTCTCAAGGGGCCGTTTAGAATTTGTTTAATTGAAAAGGTGGTAAATGACTTGGCTGGGTCCAATGACATGGCTTTGCCTGCAACTTAAGTTTTTACCTGAAAGGAGCATCGTGTCTGCAGTCATCCAAACCATCTTCTTAGCTCATCAGTCTGTGTTATTAAACCAGTCATACGTGCCAAATCTAGACACTTTCCCATTCTTTACTCTTACATTTGTGTTGTTCCTAATAGTTCCCCTTCATTGTGCTTTCCCCAGAATCCTAAGATCTCAGAGCTGGAGGAGTCCTTGGAGATCATCTAGGGATCCAGCCCTTTCATGTTACAAATGAGAAAATGAGATGAATTGCTCAAGGTCATTCTTCCCCCATAGCCAAGCTCAGGACCAGGCCCCACGCCCCCGTTTTGGTTCCAGGCTCCTTATACAACAGCATACAATCACCCCTGCACCTTCTCGAGCTCCCTGTTGGGGCTCCCTGATAGGGACAGTTCACATCTTCCCTTACACAAGGCCTAAGCCCAGAGGCAGAATGACAGTGCAGGGGGCTCCTTTGTAACCATAGAAATATGAAAATGAGATCATGATGGATTACTGCTGCTTTCCTGTATCACTTAGAAACACTTCTTCTGTTTCTCACGAACAATGCTTCTATATTTAATTTAAAATATAAATTAAATTAAAAATATAAACTTAGGTGTTTTAAAGAAGGGCTTGTTGCTTTCGTAAATTAAGCATTTGACTGTTGCCCCATTCTCTTGCAGGATGATGATTTGCAAAAACCACCCATTCCTGTCACCAGAAGTCAATCAGCTGTTGAAAACCACAGAAGACCTTTAAAAGGAGTGACATTTTCTAGGGAGGTAATTGTTGTGGACCTTGGGAAGGAATACCCGAAACCTCAAAGCTACCCTTTAGAACATAAAGAGAGAAAATTAGCTCAGAAAAGTGTGGGTAAACGAAATGTAAACTTAGATGAACAATGAAATGACTGGGGGTACAAGATCATGATGAAATGGCAAAGTATGGGGAATTAAGCAAATACAGATAGTATTTTACCTTTGTGCAGAAACAAGTGGGCTACATGCAAAATTTTTAAGTAAAATACCCAGAGCTTGAATATATTTTTTTTTTAACTCTAATCTGAGTTCAAGAAATGTATTGTATTAAGTGTCCTTAAAACACTATCTACTCAAACACTGTTCTAACATGTGAATAAAGTTATTTGTGTTTGTGCAGATGTCTGTTAGGCAAGTCATATTTAAGGGGAACTTTGGGGATAGCATGTTCTTGATGCTGTCATCACAGGCATTCATGACCAAATGACATTACTGTTATCATCATGGAAACTTCCAATAACAAGGACTAGGATATCCTGCTACATAATCCCTGTTGAACTCAGTCCTCAAACCCTTATTGTACTGACAGCTGCTTTGGTGTTTTTTTTTTTTAACATTTATTTATTTTTAAGAGAGAGAGTTAGAGCATGAGTGGGGGAGGAACAGAGAGAGAGGGAGACACGGGATCTGAGGCAGGCTCCAGGCTCTGAGCTGTCAGCACAGAGCCTGAAGCAGGGCTTGAACTCATGGACCGTGAGATCATGACCTGAGCTGAAGTTGGACAGTTAACCTACTGAACCACCCAGGCTCCCGAACTGACAGCTGCTTTGTAAGATTGCTAGAAAAAAACCCTACCGTCACCAACAAAACATCCTGTTGCTTCAGGCGAGTCCTGAGTTTACACTATTCTTGATTTCAGTAGTTTAAAATCTGCTGTCCATATGTGGAATAAGATAGTATAGGCCATTAAATCATCCAAACTGCTGCAGTAAACATTGTTAAATGTGTAAGAGGCCATGAGAGAGATAAAAAGCAGAAGGGGTGCCTGGGTGGCCTAGTTAGTTAAGCTTCTGACTCTTAATTTCGGCTCAGGTCATGATTTTGAGGTTTGTGGGTTCAAGCACCGCATCGGGCTCAGCACTGACAGTATGGAGCCTGCTTGGGATTCTCCTTTTCTTTTTCTTTTTTTTTTTTAATTTTTTTTTCAACGTTTTTTTATTTATTTTTGGGACAGAGAGAGACAGAGCATGAACAGGGGAGGGGCAGAGAGAGAGGGAGACACAGAATCGGAAACAGGCTCCAGGCTCCGAGCCGTCAGCCCAGAGCCTGAGGGATTCTCCTTTTCTCTGTCTCTGCCCCTCCCCCAATCACTGCTCAGGTGCCCTCTCTCTCTCAAACTTAAAAAAAAAAAAAAAAAAGCAGAAGGGGAGCCTGGCGGGGAGGGGCCCAGTCAGTTAAGCAGCTGACTTCAATTCAAGTCATGATCTCGCAGTTCCTGAGTTCGAGCCCTGCCTTGGGCTCTGAGCATCTGAGCTGCTTCAGATTCTGTCTGTCTGTCTCTCTCTCTCTCTGCCCCTCCCCTACTTGCTCTCTCTCGCGCTCTCTCTCTCTCTCAAAAATAAACATTTTTTTAAAAAAGCAGAAGACAGAAGACATAGCATTTGATTCAGGGTCTAGCACATTGTCATGTGTATGACACATGCTCAATGTTGAGTGATTGAAAGAGTAAGTGATACATTTAGAATGTGACTAATTCTAAATGAAGAGTACTGACACCCTTTGATATTGAGAGAAGTCCTTGTAGTCTGGGGTTGTTCCACTGTGAGAAGGAACTTAATGAATGGAAGGATTGGATAATACAAGCAGAAGGAAGAGTGTTTTTCAGCTGGGGAAAGGCATAAGCCAAAACAAAGTGAGAATGTGGGTCAAGTTTGGTGGACTCCAGTTACCTGGGGCTGTAGGTTGTCATTGAGAGTTGAGAGAGAACAGTGCAGTGTAGTGAGGAGTCAGAGTAAGGTCACTCTTGGGATTCTAGGCTGGAGGTATAGGGTGGAGAAGGGATAAAAGCAGTATGGACTTCAGGGAAGAGGCGGGGATGGTCTACAAAAATATTCAGAGCCCATGAGCTCTCTACAAGCACTTAAAAATCTGGGTCTTTCACCTGATGATAATATTAAAAATTTTTTTTAAATTGTGGCAAAGTACACATAACATAAAATTTACCATCTTAACTATTTTTAAGTGCATAGTTTAATAGTGTAAAGTACAGGGGCACCTAGGTGGTTCAGTGGGTTAAGTGTCCAACTTCGGCTCAGGTCATGAACTCATGGTTCGCGAGTTCAGGCCCCGAGTTGGACTCTCTGCTGTCAGCACAGAGCCCGGAGCCTGCTTCAGATCCTCTGCTTCCCTCTCTCTCTCTACCCCTCCCCTCCCCTGCTCATGTGTTCTTTCTCTCTCTCAAAAACAAATATTTAAAAATAATAATAGTAATAATAAAAATAAAAGTAAATGGTGTGAAGTACATTTACCTTGGACAACCACCACCACAGAGCTCTTTGCATCTTGCAAAACTTGTAACTCTGTGCCTAGTAAGCCTAATCCTTCTTTCAGCCTGCCCCAACTCCTGGTAAGCACCATTCTACTTTTTGTCTCTATGAATTTGATTACTCTAAGTACCTCATATAAGTGGAATCACAGTATATGTGATTATTTCACCTAGCATGATATTCTCAAGATTCATCCATGGGTCAGGAACTTCCCTCCTTTTTAAGAAAAATTAAAGTATAGTTAATACAATGTCACATTAGTTTCAGGTGTACATCATAGTGATTCAACAAGTCAACGCATTATGCGGCGCTCACCACAAGTGTCGCTACCGTCTGTCATCACACAACACTATCACAATACCTTATATTGTACCTTTTATCTCTGTGACTTATTCATTCTGTAACTAGAAGCCTGGACCTGCCCCTCTCCTTCACCCATTTACCCATCCCCCCCTCTCTCC